CCCCCCCCATCTAATTTGATTATTTGCCAAATAAGGAAATTATTTTTAACAGGCTTCATATCTTTAACAGGGATTCAGCTATAACTGTTAAACCATTAGTAGAAAGTATAGCATTATAGGGTATATTATTTTGACAAATAGTTGTCAAATACATTTGTATGTTTTTAATGTTATGAGGTCCTCATTTGTCATGTCATGCTTATCATATGGCTAGCTTTTAGCCCACATTGTTTTCTCTTTACTTTTTTTTTTCTTTTGGCGCACACGAGTGGTGGAGCTTCATCCTTCGGGGATGATCTTTCTGAAGAGTTGTACACAGTTGCAAAGGTATCCCTTTTGTTGTTTCAAATGGTCTGGGATTTTACAGTAAATGGGTCGAGTGCCATGTTTTTATTCTTTCACGAGGACAGTGTCTTTAGGGTATATAGTTTAGTGTCGGGTCAGGTCTGCACAGCGTTAAAATGGCACCATTCTCGTTATTTACATACAGTGATGGCCCGCTCTCGTCTAGTCCTGGTGTAAAACCAGCGGAGACTATGTGTGGTGTTTACCTTCCCAGACTCTTTTTAACTGCTCTTCACCTCAGTGCCTACGTTTTGAGAGGAGCCACAAAACCGAATGCTGCAACATTAGCTACCATGGCAATAACCTTTTCTGGGGGAGTTTCCATACCAAGTGTTTGGTTTGGGTGTCTAGAGCACTTGATGCAGCTAGCCATTAGAGGTTTGGTTGACCGTAAAGGCTGGCTGATTATCACAATGACTTTTAGGGTTCATGATAGAACTTTCAAACCTTAATTTTTGCTTCATTTGATCAAAAACTGGAAATACACATTTTACTCCGTCAGTCATTTTAGAATAGCATTTAAATTATTAGAATGTCAAAATGATTTTTGAGTTAAAATACTGAAAACAACTTGAATGTTGCTTGGTATATTTCAGCAACAGCAGCCAAACAACCTTGTATAGTGAACTACATTGCCATAGTTATCATAGCTTTTGTTGTGAAAGAAAGTAAATAAAAGGACGCCTTCCAAACCTACAGATGGGTGCTCAGTCCTGGCCCATCCAGACAGCCTCCAGATGTTAGGGGCCAGCTCTAAATGGAACACTACTGGGGCACTGCAAAAGGACTGTGAGGAACCTCATCATGGCATTGACGCCTTACTGCCTGTGGAGGCACAAAGCAATGTTTCTTCATTAATTCCGAGGTCACATCTACACGTTTTAGCGTTGTCTCATTAGTATTTTCTTATGGAGTGTGAACACGGCTCGGCCATATATGTAGACCATATATGGTCAGGTGAATTAACATTGTGAGACAATAAAATAAAGCAATGAAGCGTGAAGAAGCTCTGTGGTCCCATCAAGGGATTGTACGCTCCAACAAACCTCATTTGCTTTATTGCTTGGTTTATGGTTCATGATGTTACATTAAAAAGACCTACACTACTTCATAATTTCCAACTATTTTTTATTTTATTTTATTTTTTTCAAGTTGAAAGGCTGCTGCTCCTTCAGGCGTATTGAAATATTTTCTTTCTCTTGCATAAGCATTTGTGTCGGTGGTTTCAGTGCAATGTCCTTTTTATAAGAAGTGTTCGGTCGACTCTTCTCAAATCTCAATGATTACCTTTCGCTGAAAAATGTTGTTTGTATCATTGTGATATTTTTCTACCTAACGTTTGTCAGTATTTGGTTTGAAAAGTTGCATATTACATCCAGCTTTTTCTCCTCTTCCTTTCAGATCTGTAATGCCCCTCTTTCTTGCCTTTGGTGAGAGTTCTCAGTCAGGTCTCGTCTTTCCTATCAGGGGACGTGTGTGTGTGCGTGCGTGTGTGTGTATGTGTGCACAGGCATCTTGTTTGTGCTTCCTTACAGTGTTTCTTTGTGTATCACCTCACTCATTATCACACATTCATCATTTTGTATTGATTTAACACCAAAGTTCTACAACACTTGAGTTCAAGTCACTGTGCTTTTTCTTGTTTGTTTTTTTTGTGGGCCAGATTATTCACATTTTGTTTTTCTTTTAGAAACACTTGTCGGTTCTTGTTGGCTTACTTTGAGTGTTGGCAGTGTGTTGTCATCCTGAGCATCAGTTTTTTCTTTCTTTCCATAATAAAAGGCTTCATTGAAACAATTTTGTCATGTCTATATTTCTTTCATACAAATGTCTGATATTGGACATGAGTTAAGGCCAAAGATCATCTCTTCAACCTGGTGTGACTGACTTCCTGTACCTGATACGGTCTATTAACTCAGTCATGAGAGAGAATGATACTGTGTTCTGTTAGTATATTTGACAGTGAACTGATTAATTTCTTTTATCATTCATTTCTTTCCAGACAATAAAGCACATTTTTATGGAGGAATGTTGCTTGTCTTCTGTCAGCAGACTAATGACAGCTAACTCGGTCTTTATTTAGCCTAAATGAGCTGGGATATTACCTCAGTTCTCCAGTACAGCCAGCGAGGAACAAGCTGTAAACCCAAAACTGACACACCTTTTACTTTGATATGGAGAACTACAAACAACAAACTGTTAGCACACCGTTTCCTATTTACACATTCAGCAGATATGGAGAAACATTAGGATTAGTTTGGACCTGAGCAACAAGTCCAATATTAACACTTTTTAGCTTTTCTCACTTTTCTGCTGCTAAATGCTCCACTATATCCACCAGCTAATCACTAAGCATGTTTTTATTAGTTTGATAGGTTTAGATTTGTTTATTACAATACAATCGCTTGTGTTGGCAGATTTGACCAAATTGTCAGACTAAAACTAAACACATTTCCTGTATATATTTATTTTAGTACACAATATGCTTTCAGTTTTTTTTTTCTAAGTTGCATTTTTATTTTAGTTGACTAAAATGTTTTTTACACCTAGTTCTCGTTAGCTATAATAACCTTGTTTCACAATAAATATATTAACTATAGTTTATACTTGAAATACACAAAACGGTAAATACAATTACATTAGTCAGTGCAGTCTGACCTCCTTTTGATTGTTGTACTGACGCTCTGTGTACCAAGGGTGTGTCCGTCCATAGTTCACTAGGTAATGATTTTATTCTGTAGAAAGGCGGCAGTGATAAGACCGATACAATTACCACCAGGTACCACTGGATGAGAAGAATTAATATTTGGTTCATCTCAAAAGTCTTGCGTGATTACAGATAATGTTCATCAAAGTACAGTGTCTGGGGGGGAGGGGGAGACGGAGACTGGTGTTCATGTTTGAAACCTTTATCTTAATCTTGATTTACAAAAAGATAAAGAAGTAATTGTGATGATGTCACATGAAAAAATAATATAATTGATGACTAAAAATATTACTTGACAAAGCACATTGTTTTTTTAGCTTGCGTTTCTCCAAAATTCATAAATGGTCATCTGAGTAAAAATATTTAAATAGACAATACATTAAACGACCAGAAATGAGGGACACAAGCTTTAAAAAAAATCCAATCTTAAACTAAACATGGTAAAACACTAGTGCAACTCATACAAACCAATTTAAACAATTTGCGTCTACAGTCCCTGTAATGTGACATATGGAGCATTATAAAGTCTAGCAAACCCAGTTTACTAACTAATTTACAGTTGCAGATGAAGACTTCAACACACTACTGTCCCTTGAGAAGAATGTTTTACAGCAGCTGCTCAAACTACTGCAATCAAGCCAATCAGATAATTATGAACTAAAGCTATAGATCCAAAACAAAGAATTAAAACCAACTAAAACATGGCTGTGTAATGGAGGTCCCTGCAGAGGCGCATTCCAGTCGATGATGTTTTTACTCAGCATCGAGGACCATGATGTGTATAAAGAGTCCAGCTGAAGGGAGAACGTCTCCGTTCTTATTGAGCAGAGGCACGTGTCTGTATCCTGTGTGGGAACACAAAGAAAAAAGGAGAATATGAAGAGCTCTTTGTGCACAGTGTGAATTGAGTTCTCTATGCTCCACCACAGAAGGGATAGTTCCTGTCTGTTCTTTTATGAAGTGTGAAAACAAAGAACTATCAGTGGTTTTACATCATCTGGTTACAGAATAGTAAATATCCGCTGCCAGTTGCTGAGCTTACCCATTTTTAAGCTGTTGAATGGAAGTGTGAACTGTCCAACAAACTCATTATCGGACGTGGTGTCATGGTCCTCAACGGCGAAGCGCACCATTGCAAGGTCTGGCACGTACACATTGAACTGGAAGTTTTCGTTCCACGTTGGGTTAAAGCCTTAAACAGAAAGGAAGAAATATGCCGTCAGTAACTTTATGTTAGGCAACATTGATTTCTGATGTTCACATTCCAGGAGTTACTTGGTGATCCTTTAACCTGCCTCGTCTGCTTGTGCTTTAAAGGCTTCCCACGTTTCCCAGAATGTGTTTAGACAACCCCCAGAGGGCGTGAATACATAAGTTGTATCCAGCTGCAGGTTTTACACAATAAACACAGATACACAGTGTAGGCAGAGCCAGTACACAAGCTTACAATTCACTCAAAATGCTACGTGTGTTGTGGGCTGCATTGCATTCTGGTCTATCGAGGCTACTACTGGTAGAGACATGTTCTACACACCATGGCTCTACATGATCCTGAAGTTGTGCCAAATACTGATGTTTGTCTTTGACTTTAGCTAGCTGAAACATGTCAGGACTGCATTGTAACTGTGATCAAAACAAAAATGTTGCATCTAGAGCTACAATGATTAGTCAATGAATCAATTATTTGACAACTATTAAATTAATAACTAACTATTTTCATAATTTATCAATCGTTTAGAGTCATGTCAATGTCCACATTATCTGATTGTAGCTTCTCAAATGTGAATATTTTCTGGCTCCTTTAGTTCTCTATGACAGTAAACTGAATGTTCAAAAATGAGACATTTAAGGACTTCAAGTTCGGCTTTGGAAAACAGATCACTGTTTTTCAGTATTTTACGGAACAACTAATCGATTAATCGAGAAAATGACCGACAGATTAATCGATACATAAGTAATACTTCACCCCTAGTTGCATCAGCTATATTCAGGTAATAATCTACTAAGTATAAAAAAGTATAAAAGAAGAAACCAGTTTTTGCTTCATGTTCAGGACTAGATTGAAAAATTAAAGTAAAGTACAAACGGACACATATAGTAATTGAAAGGAAAGGTACCATTGTTATCAACAGGATTGGTCTCTTTTTCAGCAACATCATCCGGCACTCCGTACACCTGCACTTTGACCAGCGGGTCCACAATGGACGATTTCTTCTGGTTCACTTTGGGAAGCTGCTGGGCTGATATAACCTGATGACAGGTGGGGGACACGTCATGTCACAGATAAAAGATCGACTGGGAACAAGAAAACTAGTCAGTGTGTCAGTGTGCAAAACACTCAACCATGACATGCAGCGTCTTGTGCTTCAGCCAGTCTCCTCGGGTCAGGGTGATGGGGTCAAACTCGGTGCCTCTGTCCCTCATGTAGGCTGGTTTCAGGATGTAGCCGTTCTTTCCGTTAACCAGGAATCTGCCCTGGTTAACATCCATGTCTGGGCAGGATGTCTGGAAGTTTAAGGCCACTGAAAAGGAATAAACAAAATGACAATGATGAATCCAAAGTAAGAAGCTGTCTCCCATTAGTTAGATGTCAAGATTGTTGTTGTTGAACCATTGGTTCATTGGTTCCATTATCAGACAGCACTGTGTCAGTATTATGTACCAATTTGGCAGCCGGCATTCCACAGAGGCACTGGGTTGTAGTTGGAGGAGTCGGTCCTGATGCCTGCTGGATAGATGCGGCTCAGCTTGTCCACATTGTGACGGACATAGGCATTAGCTGCAGAGGACACACCGAGACAGAGGAAGAGAGTTATCTACTGACCGGACTCATCCGCAGGAGGGGGAAACATTGTGTGTGCAATATAGTGACCACACGACAACAACTGGTGTCAGGCCTGACTTGAAATGATTGAATCAATTTTGTTTCCCCAACTTTTCAGTAGATATTAATCAAAATAGCTAAGATCTTAAATGCTTTAGAGAAAATGAATTCTCATACAAATAAACAATTAGTTATGTATAAAATATAACTTAGTAATACTGGTAACTAAGATAAATCTCGACCCTGAAAAAACTTGACTGAATTTAGCCTGAAGTCTTCCTCACCCGACTCCTCTGCCAGCGTCAAGGCCTTTCCCTCGTTGAAGGACGACATCTCGTAGAAGCTCTGGTTTTTTCTTGCGTCCTCAAAGCCGTTGAAGTGGACGCTCTTACAGTAGATCACCATGTCGGACAGCCCTTTGGCCATTTTCAGCTTCTTTTTCTGCTACGTGGTAAATGGAAATTAAAGAAATGTGTGCTAATGCTAAAAATGTGTTAGCTGAGATCCATTTTTCTATTGACTCTTCTTTGATGTGACCACCCACCTTGCTTTGGTTTTCCTTCTTCTGTTCCTCCTCATCTTCGTTATTTGACTCTTCCTCCTCCGTCACATCCGTGTCATCAGCTGCTTCCGCCTCAGCAGCAAAGCTGGCCTCCAGTTTGTTTAACCTCTTCCCTTTGATCAGGAACTTCCCCTTCAGTTCCTGGAGGTATGTACACACACACACACAC